ACAGGGCTGGAAATCAAATCCAAATCTTCGGACCTCTAATTGCACATTGTGCACTGCCTCCCCCAGGCCCAATGTGACAGTTCAATGGCTTCACAAGAGCTTCAACGGAGTGAAGTCAACATCCAAAGACCTTAGATTCCATCGGCACCGCCTTTGGTCCCTTGTCTCTAATGAGAATTTGCCCGGTTCCAATTTGAACATTGGGTCTAATCCGAGATATCTTGCCTTTCTACCTGAAACTCTTGAAAAGGCTTGATTCACTTAGGAGCTCCTGTCACAAAGTAAGAGTCAAGAGCCCTCTTGAGCAAAGCTCAGCAGGCCTCAGTGGTACATGGGAAATGAGCTGCTGTCCATCACCACGCTATCGCCAATCATCAACATCAATGTCTGCAAACCTACATGTATTGCGTTTTCAGGATGGCTGGGCGTTATCCAAGTTTCTGAGTAACATGCAACCAGAGGAAAAAGCGTCTGCTGCTCAGGCCTGGAGACACAAACACTGACACACCCACACCCACCCACACACACCCACACCCACACACACCCACACCCACACCCTCCCACACCCAAAAACACACACACTCACACACACACGCACACAGAGGCATCCCACACAACGGGTCGAGTCCAGCCAAATACTTAGTAGCATGAGGTGGGCTTCGTACGCATCCATGCTCCAAAGGAAGAGACACCTTACCCTAATTCACACGTCCATTCTCCCTCCTTCTAATCCAATGCTGGCTCCTCCTCAAGCCCACACGTTATTAAGTAGAACGAAATTCTTCATGGCTATCCAGTGAAAGCATGGTCGAGGCTGCGCGGATTCGAAACGACCGCCCAGTCAAACGGAGAACATGCTTGGACATGAAATATGATTCATTTGATAAGACATGGCTCATGATGAGAGGGAGCACACCCCAAGGGTATAGCTCTGCTCTGTAGCAAGCCTACCTGTGTGTCTGGACACCTCCCAAAGTGCTTCACGCCCTCATTGCACCCTCAGAGGCAGACAAGAGGACTCCAAAGGACTCATGTGTCTCCCATGCTGTCTGAAAACGACTCCCATTTCTCCTGGGGACCAAAAGTAACAAGAAAAGTAGCTTATTATAGGGAGAGTACACAGCTTTTTGAAAATACACAGCTAAAACGGTCCCTGCTTTAAGTGCAAAAGCACTTAAAGCAGGGACCGTTTTAGCTGTGTATTCTGACAAACTGGTCTAGCACTTAAAGCTCGGACAGCTTTAGCTGTGTATTTTCAAAAAGTTATCTCTCGGTGCCGTAGCTAATGAAGTCAAAATGAGGGATCTGTGTCCACTTGAGTTGAGCATTCTTTTGGTCATAAAGGATTCCGTTCTGTTGGAATTCTTTAGAACGGATTCTCCTTCTTGTCAATCCACTGTCAATTTTCTCTGCTAATTTCTAGGAGAGGTAACAGAGTGCATCCAAAAGCATAGGTGTATGAAAGTCCAGATTGACAGGTAGACTCCACGAACCAGGCACCGAGCTGGAAAAGGGATGGTTTCCCAGTGGGCCTTCAGGCCCACAGCAATCCCTGTGCAGAAATCGAGAAACAGAGACAGAAAGTCACCCGCCTAAGGCTTGTCACTTGAAAGTGAGTGGCTGACTGCCTGGCACAGGGCTGGAAATCAAATCCAAATCTTCGGACCTCTAATTGCACAT